ATTGTACCCCCGTGCACCAGTGCTCGCTCAGGCCACCTCTTCCAGTCTTCTTTGAGACCCACAGGGAACTTGGTCACCTCTCTGTCATTTTCAATGTCTCTCTCTCTCTCTCTCTTTCTAATGTATTTATTTTGAGAGAGCCAAAGAGCACAAGCAGGGGAGGGCCAGAGACAGAGGGAGAGAGAAAATCCCAAGCAGGCTCCGCACTGTCAGCAAAGAGCCCAGTGCAAGGCTCCACCTCATGAACTACAAGGTCATGACCTGAGCCGAAACCAAGAGTCAGACGCTTAACCGACTGAGCCACCCAGCCGCCCCGAGGAGGGACCCTTTAAGTGGACAACAAGTGCCCTGATTCCTTCTGGCCTCCCCAAGAGCCACATTGCCATTTCCTCAGGTAAGTGTACACTACAAGGCACAAACCACCCTGACATTCATGTGGGACAAATACGTGAGTGAGTGACATCATCCCCGGAGAACTGAAGGCTCATCATGGCCTCCCTGTTGAGTGTCGAATGGTGGGGGGGGGGGGGGGGGGGGGGGGGCAGGGGACAATGTTCTAGATCCTGTTCCCAACAGTGTCATTGGCTCAGGAACCCGCACAGTGACCATTTCACATTCCTGGGCTTTGTCACAGGAAAGAAAAACCTTTGTAGTGAGTGAATTACTTGTGGTTGAGGGCTGCGTCATAGGGAAAATTAAGTATGGTCAGCATACACCGCCTTCCCCTTCTCTCCAAATACAACATTAGAAGAGTATCTCCTCCTGGATGAAATGACAGCGAAGAGCACACACTTTAACCTCCCTAGGGATGCACAGGTGTGATCCTTAACCTATTTCCATTGAATGCAGACATATATATATACATATAATTTTGGCTGATGAAGAGTTTGGTTTCATACTTAGCCATGCATGTGCCTGGGTGCAGAGCTGTCCTTACCACCACCGGCCACCACTGGCCCAGGAGGAACAGGCAGCACAGATGCTCCAGACACTCTGCCACTTTGGGTGTTGGGGCTCACAAAGGTCATGAGCACACTGGGTTTCCCCTTCCTACATGAAGGGCAAACCAATTAACAGCCAGACTTTAGCAGGACGGGGAGCCAGTTCTAGCTGAAGGCACTTTAATCAAGGCACATGCCCAGGGCTAGAGTTGGTTTTCCTTCTGGTTATTCCGATAAATCGAGATGGGACTCGGTTGGAGACCCAGCACTGCTGCAAGCTGCGGGTAGTGGGCCAGGGAGCCGAGTGGGTGCCTGCCCACTAGTAGAGCCCCTGGTCAGGGCTGTCCACACGGCCAGTTAGCGGCTGGCATGGGGTGAGCTGTTCTCCTTAGGCAGCCTCGTACTTTCTGAGCCGGACCACTTTCTTCTGAGCACCACACGGATGCACAACGTGGAAGCAGGGCCTTCCGAGAAGAGGCCTAAGTAGGGGAGTGCTGGGTCCAAGTCTGCTCTCAAGTCTCCCTCCGTGGGCCTGGCCAACTTCCCTTTCTGCAGGCACCTGATGGCCTGCATCATGAATCTTGTCACCAGGCAGCACTGGATTTCATTATCAGAGGAACCGTCAGACTTAGGAGATACCTTCAGGCTTCCCCAAATACCATCCAGGTCGGAAGTCAAAGCTGTTCCAGACATGTGACCTGGGAGGTCTTTGGACACCATCTGCTTCAGCCACTCTAGGCTTCTACCATCATCCCTCTCCCTAAAGGCTTTGCCTACTTGGTCTATGTATTTTGCTACATCCGTACCAAGTTCACCCACCAGTGTGGCAGCTTCCACAGGAAAGCCAAAGCTTCTGGTAAGGGAGTCCAGCTTCGTAGGGTCAACTGCTTCCTGGAGAATTCTGATGGCTTCAGACATCACAGGTGCCAGACCCTTGTTGGTCCAGAAGCCAGGTCTATCCTTCACCGCACTGGTGATCTTGCCCTGCTCAAGACAGACTATTCCAATAGAAGCCCGTGTCCTTGTGTCCTTTCTTAGATTGTGATGATCTTGGGCAGCCACATCTTGTCCACACGAGAGAAGTAGTGTCTGCCAATCACCTTCCCAGGTCTTTAGCTGGAAGCAGCAACTTCCCTGATTGGGAGGGCAGACATGTTACTAGCGAAAACATAGAGATCTGGAATCACCATCTGTAATTCCTTTAGCAACTGTGCTTGACTCTAAGGTCCTTAAACCCTCAAAGCCCTTCAACAGGCCGTGTCAAAACCCTGGTAATCATGCTGCCTAGTCAGTTACTGAAAATACCGTCCTTTTGAAATTATGTTAGGGCTGTCTCTTTCACTCTTTTGTTGTTGTTGTTGTTGTTGATTTGTTTGTTTTTGGTTTTTTGGTGTTTTTATATTTTGAGAGACATGGCATGCACTACAGACACACACACACACACACACACACACACACACACAGCAGAGGGGCAGAGGGAAGGGAGAGAGAATCTTAAGCTAAAGGCTTCAGGCCCAGTGTCGTGCTCAACATGAGACTAGATTTCATGATTGTGAGATCATGACTGCAACATCTTGACCTGAGCTGAAATCAAATGTCGGACCCTTACTGACTGACCACCCACGTGCTCCTCTTCTTCACTTTAACCTTCAGTCCTTTGAACACTTGTTGCTGTCCTTGGCGAGCCCAGCTGTGTAGCCTCATTATATGTGGTCTTTAGGCCCTTACCCACGGGCACTTGGACCATGCTGGCTCCCATCAGCCCAGCACCCAAAATTGCTCTACGTTTAGCCTCCTTCTATGGAACTCCATATTTATTCTTGCACCAGAACTGACCATGGTAAAGTCCAACCAAGGCCTTTGATTCTTTGGACTACGCAGGCTCTCCACATTTCTGAGATTCAGAGATAGCCAGCATCCTTACCTTGCTCAATTCCAGTCTTTTGCACATCAGTTATTTTCAGAGGTGCAGGAAAAAGACCTTCGGTTTGCTCTCCTACTTTATCTTCATTCTTTTGCAAGTCTGTTACCTGACAAAGGGAATATTCACGGCTTGTGATGTTACTGTTCCCACCAATTCTTCCTCTGTCTTTGGAGAGATTTTCTTATTCCTGGGTGAGTCCCGGAGGTCTGGGACTCTGGTCACTAGGTGGCCCCGCCGCTCTATCAGGTCCCCGCCTTGGCCAGCTCTGGGGCCCAGTGGCATCTGCCTGGCATTTGGGACAGAAAAAAGGCAATTTGGGCAACAGAGTGCTGCCAGTGCTGGGGGCCCGGAGCGGGGGAAGGGAGCGGACCGCGTAGGGAACTGCACAGTCGCCCTAGTCACCCCCTGCCACTTGGGGAGCCCAGGTGCGACCAGGAAGCCAAGGCCCACCTTGCAGCCGGGACGCGGGGTGCGCGGGGCACCGAGACTGGGCGCTGTGTGTTTTTTGTTATGGAGGACACTGCTCAGAAACTCATGGAAGTATGCGCAAGCCAGGGAACTGTCCCCGTGGATGCCTTTCCATCTTGGACTCGGACTACCTTCCCGCCCGCCCCCCACCCCAGGAGTTTGCATCCACACCGCACTTGCACACACGTGCAGCAGATGTCACACTAGGGGCCACACCTGCGTGTCTGCATTCAAAAGTGAATGCCGGGACCATAGACAAGGGTCTTGGGCTTATAAGGTTCTGTCTGGCCCCTACAGAAGGGGGGAGAGGATGACGAATTTAGCCTGTGGATGGTTCATTTTTCCTGTCCGTTGGAGACTACTTTGATTGAAATTAACATTTAAATTGGTGAACTGTGACATAAGGAGAATGTCTTCCTTAACACTGGTGGGCCTTGTCCAGCCCGTTGAAGGCCTGAAAAGGCCAAGGAACAAGAAGCCTGCCCTCCCCATAGAAAAGGGGACGTTCCAGCAGACTGTCTTTAGATTTCATCCCCACCACTTGCTCTCCTGGGATTTTGTACGCTGGCCCACACTGCAGGTTTTGGCGTCCCCAGCCTCCATAGTCACATGAGTTAAACGGTTATTATCTATTTGTCTGTCTACACCTCATCCTGGTTCTGTTTGTCTGAGAGCTCTGACTGAAACAGGAGGGTAAGGAAGACATAATGGCAGGTGGTATTTGTGCCCCGCTTTCCTGAGTGACAGGCTGTTGGTCCATGCAATCCAGAAACCTGACAGAGGAATGTGCCATAACAGAAAGACTGGATGTATGACAGTGAGGTATTGTGGGGGAGACATTTGAGGAGGTAAAATGGGATGGAGGCTGTGAGGGAAATCCATTAGCAGCCATGAGTTCGAGCAATACAGTCATTGGACACACACAAACACACACACACTTGCACGTAGACCCACATGCACCCACTCCACCACCCACCCCCCTTGGCTTGGAGCGGATACCTCATTGTATAAGAGTGGATGCCGTCACCTGTCCTCCCCTACACCGAAGTGAGGGTCGGACTCGGTAGACTCCAGGGTGTACACCCCGGATTCCAGGCCTCAGCTGCTGTCCTGTCCACGAGGCCTGGGAGGGCCAACCCGAGGGGGTAGAAGAGACAGAAGCTGCCGATGGCTGGAGCCCCAAGTCAGAAGGGAACAAAGAGAGAGGACTTGCCTGAAAAACTGACCAAATTTACCCTTTATTCCAAATTTGGAAATGTAAGTATTTCTTAAATTCTCACTTGCTGTAACTAAACATTTTTGAAACAGTCCTGAACTCTAATTAACTTGTCAGTCCTGTACCAAATGCTGGTCTTCCTGAACCGTATGACAGTAAGCGGTCACAACAATGTCCTCCCAGTTTTCGTGATGTATCCTGATGCCACACACGAGTATGTATCTGTCACCAGCCACGACATTCTCCTGGGTCACCACAGGATGAATTAAGGAGTCATCAGGGTTCAGCTTTTCCACGTTAGTGCTAACAAGTGACAGGAGATCTCATCAATGGGTGTCATTTCTGTGATGAGAAGGTTCTGTGAGTGGTCAGGGTTGGACGGGGGAATCACCTTTCCCAGGTCCTCACACAGGGCCAAGTGCCCCTCCCTTCCCTCTCCATCTCTTCTCAGTCCCTCTCAATCTAAAGGACCCTGCCTTGGATGCCAATTATGATGACACAGCTGAGAATCATGGAGAGGATCCAGATGATGGGTCTGAAGGCCGTGGCCCTGGACGGGGCTGGGACTTGCTGCGTGACTGGCAGTGCTGAAAGGGAAACACAGGAGTGAGAGCCTTGCTCCAGACACCAGATCTGAAGACATACCAGCCCCGCTCCTCCTGCCACAGAGAATCCTACAATGCAGATGGTTTCTGTGACTCTACGTTGTGGCAGCTACTGTGACAGGTTCTGGGCTGGAAACCGAGGGAAGACACGGATGGGACCTCTCCCAATGGAGCTCGCACATGTAAAGGCAGAAGCAAGAGTTACAACATAACTGGTCCCTCCTGCGATGGCAGAAGAGGTGGTGATGGAGGATGAAGAAGGTGACAGTTGACCACCTCTCAGGAGCTAACTGTTGAGCTGGCCCTGAATGATTCCCAGCAAGAGACAAGATGACATGAAAAACTCAATGATTCTCAGAAAAGGGAACAGGGAGAAGCAAATCTCTAGAAACAGACTGACGCCCTCATGTTTGGGGCCAGCATAGAATCCGAGTAATACCTGAGACTGAAGGTAAGGGCAGCGAGGAAGAGATTTCAGGAGATGAGAGGGGAAAAGAAGGACACTAGAACGTGCCTATGGTGCATTAATTTCCTGAAAAAGAAATTGACCATGCATGGATCACTTTTTCTCTCTCTCTCTCTAACTGTCGGTCTCTCTGTCTCTGTCTCTGTATTTCTCTCTCTCTACTCTCTCCCACACAGACACACATTACGGTGGGGAAGGGAGGTTTGATTTCAAGAGAACCACCACTTCATCCAGTCTTTTGAGTTACCTGTTGTCTCCGGTATTTCATCCCAGTGCACCAATATTTGCTCAAGCCACTTCTTACAGTCTCCATTTGAGATCTTCATGAGGCAATTGGTCAAATCTCTGTCAGTGTCAAATGCGGCCCTTAGCTGTCGGCCTCTAGGATGAACTCTCCAATTTCCACTTGTCGAGTTAAAGAAGTAGGATATCTGTTCACTGGTGTGAAACTCCCAGGATCCACTGGTGTGTCCATTGTCCCCACACTTACACACCATCGTGCCCTGCAGGGAGACAGAATCTGCCCCCCCCAACCCCACCGTGGGAATGAGGTCAGCCTCTGGGCTTGACCAATCCCTTGCCCCACGTGCTGTCCACTCCTCAGCTCCCATCACCCCTCCTGGTCCTGTTCTGTCCTCCATGTCTGCCCGGGATGCTGGGCCTCCTGTGTGGGACCCACGTCTAAGTTTTACATGAACACGATAGCTCCCGGGCCCTACAAACTGTCTACTTCTATCCCGGGCCTTTCCAACTTACCGCTGTGAGGGAAATCCTCTGCTTTCATGTCAAGAAGTTTCTTTTTGAGCTCTTCTAGCAGGTCTTTCACAGTTTCTCTCTGTCTCTCCCATAACTCTATGCCAGTCTGCTTCATCCTCAGAGGACCAACGAGTTCGACCTTCTCACTCTCACAAGCATAGGAAAGATAATCCTTTCCATTGACCTTACCTCCAAACTCACACCATGATTGTCCAGATTTGGGCTTTGGTGTGATGAAGAATTCAAAGGAAAGAGAAAGACCATCTGCAAAGGAAACATAGGTGAAAGCCGGGGTTAGAAGAAAGACCCATAGGCGATCTCTCCCATCAATGTGACAGCAATTGCATCTTTGCAGGCCTGGCCTAGCAGAGCAATGGCGTCCCCTGCACAGCCCCGCCCCCCTAGCAGTAGAGGCTGGTGCTCTTCCCTTGTTGGAATAACACCAAAGAACAGATTCCACATTCCATATCACCATGGATAGGTCCCCTGTGTCTACCACGCCGATATCAGGCATCACTCAGTACTCAATGAGTCCAGGCACATACTACACTGGCTATGAGAAGAAGAGGTCTGCATGCCCGCTGATTGTCAGGATCTATCCCAGTGTCCTCTAAGACGAGAGACACGGAAGGGGCCTGTTCCTGAGGAGCTAGTCAGGGTAGGGGCAGAGTGAGTATAGATCCAAAGTCAGAGAAGAGAAAATGTACACTCCTGGGTCACAGGATTTAGCACAGGCCTGGTGATGCTGATAATGCCATTAGGATGGGCCTTGGAGGCTTGGAAAACAGGAAGGTCCACATGGCACAGACTAGAACATCTGGAATTCCAAGACACTTAGTGGTAGAAGGGATTAAAAAGGCCCAAAGAAGTGCATATGACACAACAAATCTAGTAAGAAAGGCCAAAACAGAACAAAAAATATGCCTGTCATCTATGCTCTTGCAGAGGTCTGGAGGACGCTCAGTGAAACTCGTCAAGAATGCATGGTCCCACTGAACCGGAGAACTACAGACCAATTTCCCTGATGAACACGGATGCACAAACTCTCCAACAAGACACTAGCCAACCAAATCCAACAATCCAGTAAAAGAATTATTCACCTGGATCAGGTCGGATTTATTCCTTGGCTGCAGGGCTGATTCAGTATCCGCAAATCAATCAATGGGATACATCACATTAATAAGAGAAAGGAGAAGAACCGAATGATCCTCTCAATAGGAGCAGGAAAACATTTGACAAGAAACAGCATCCTTTCTTGATAAAAACCCTCAAGAAAGTAGGGATAGAAGGATCATACCTCAAGGTCATAAAGGCCATGTATGAAACACCCACCGACAATATCATCTTCCATGGGGAAAGACCGAGAGCTTTCCCCCCAAGGTCAGGAACACCACAGGGATACCCACTCTCACCACTGTTGTTCAACATAGGGTTGCAAGTCCTAGCCTCAGCAATCAGACTACAAAATTAATCAAATGCATTCAAATCAGCAAGGAAGAAGTGAAACTTTCATGCTTCACAGACCACATAATACGCTATGTAGAAAGCCTAAAAGACCTAGGAATAAATTTCACCAAAAAGGCAAAAGATTTATATGCTGAAAACTATAGAAAGCTTATGACAGAAATTGAAGTAGAAAAAGAAACAGAAAAACATGCCAATCTCACGGACTGGAAGAACAAATATAGTGAAAATGTCACTACTACCCAAATCAATGTACATATTCAATGCAATCCCTATCAAAATAACACCAGCAGTCTTCACAGAGCATGAATAAATAATTCTGAAGTTGGCATGGAACCAGAAACGACCCGGGAGAATCAAAGTCATGAGACAAAGGAAAACCAAAGCTGGAGGCATCACAATTCTGGACTTTAAGCTGTATTACAAAGCTGTCATCAGCAAGACGGTATGGTCCTGGCACAAAAACAGACACATAGATCAATGGAATAGAACAGAAAACCCAGAATGACACCCACAAACGCATGGCCAACTAATCTTTGACAAAGCGGGATGACTATCCAGTGGGAATAGGTCTCTTCAGCAAATGTGTGGGAAACCTGGACAGCCACATGCAGAAGAATGAACCTGGGCCGCGTTCTTCCATCGTACACAAAAATGAACACAAAATGGGTAAAAGACCTAAATGTAAGGCAGGAAACCATCAAATACCTAGAGGAGTAAACAGGCAAAAACCACTTTGACCTTGGCCACAGCAACTTCTTACTTGACATGGGTCTAGAGGCATGGAAACCAAAAACAAAAATTATCTGTCAGGATCTCATCAAGAGGAGCTATGTTTCCTTCTGTGCAGCAAAGGAAACAATGACGAAAACTAAAAGCCAATGGATGGAATGGGAGGAGATATTGGCAAATGACATATTGATGAAGGGTTACTATCCAAAATCTATGAAGAGCTTATCATACCCAACACCCAAGGAAACAAATAATCCAGTGAAGAAATGAGTGACAGACATGAAGAGACACTTTTCCAAAGAAGCCATCCACATGGCTGACACATGAAAACAAGCCCAACAACACTCATCATCAGGGACATAGAAATCAAAACCACAATGAGATACCACCTCATGCCTGTCAGAATGACTAAAATGAACAACTCAGGACACGACAGATATTAGTGAGGATGCGGAGAGAGGCAAGACCTTTTGCACTGAGGCGGGAGTGCAAACTGGTATAGCCACTCTGGAAAACAGCATGGAGGTTCCTCAAAAACGTTTAAAAAAAAGAAAATACCTTATAATATAGTAGTTGAAATACTTGGTGTTTACCCAAAGAATACAAAAATGCTGGTTCGTATCAGTACACGTAACCAAATGTTTATAGCAGCACAGTCAACAATAGCCAAATTATGGAAGGAGCCCAGACATCCATCAACTGATGAATGGATAAAGACATAGCATATTATAGAATGGAATATTACTTGGTGATCAAAAAGAATGAAATCTTTGCCATTTGCAGCCATGTGGATGGAGCTAGAGTGTATTATGCTACACAAAATAAGTCACTCGGACAAAGGGAAGTATCATATGGTATCAAGCATATGTGGAATTTAAGAAAAAGAACCGAGGAACATAGGGGAAGGGAAGGAAAAATAAGGTAAAAACAGAGACAGAGGCAAACGTAAGAGACTCTTAAATACAGAGAAGAAACTGAGGGTTGTTGGAGGGGTGATGGTTGGGGGAATGGGCTGAAAGGATCGTGGGCATTAAGGAGGGTACTTGTTGGGTCAAGCACTGAGTGGTACACGTAAATGAGGAATCACTAAATTCGACTCCTGAAACCATTGTTGCACTAGATGTTAACTAACTTGGACTTTAAAAAATTAAAAAAAAAAAAAAAAGTAATGCATGAAGGGTACCAACATGGTCAAGAAGCTAGTGATGCAAGGGCCGCTTGGTGTTTTAATCCCTTACGTGTCCAACTTCAGCTCAGGTCATGATCAGGAGGTTTGTGTCTTTGAGTCTTGCACTCAGCTTTGCCCTGATGTTGTGGAGCGGATTCTCTCTCTCTCCCTCTCTCTCTCTCAAAATAAATAAATTAATACAAAAGTAGCCACTGATGGCCATCTTTGAAGGCAGAGCTTGGCGGTACAGGACGATGTTGCAGAATCAGGCTCCCAGGAGTATTGGGGGTGGGAAATCCTGATAGAATAGATTTGAGGTACAGGCGCTCAACTGTCAGAAGCAGGGAGGCGGCAACAGCCGAAATGATCCTAGATGCTGGAAGGCAGCCAGGCCCCTGACCCACAGAAAGCTGTCCATCCCTGTGGCTCACAGAACACAGTGATTGTGGAGGCGCAATAGTTGGAAGCCAACCCAGAGATTACAGGTGTTAAGCAATCAAAACAAAGACCCGTCCCCAGGATGCATGAGGAGGCTGAAAGCAGTGACCTCACAGAAAGTCTGGAATCTCTGCCCAGGTTCCAGACCTGAGCCACTGGAACTCTTTACTAGAAGCGGAAGCCAGCTTCCAATCAGGAGGGACCCTTCAGGTCCACAGCAAGAGCAATGCTTCCTGCTGGCCTTCCCCCCAGAGTCATGTGGTCATGTACAGGGGTGAGTGTACCCTGGGGACACAGACCACCCAGGCGTTTTTACTGGACCTACTGTGTGAGTGCACACCACCCTCAGGGATCTAACAGGTCATCACAGTCCCTGTTATTGAAATGGTACCGGGCCCGGAGGTGCCCCAGATACTGAAAAGACACGCCTGGTCCTGTTTGCACTGATATCATTGGGTTCAGGCACCCGCATCGCCATGTGGTCCTTTCACACTCCCCACATTTGTTACAAGCATGAAAACTCTTTGTAGTTGAATTCCTTGCGGGATGCGGGCTAGGTGGTGGGGAATTTGGAGCACACTATTCTTACACGGTCTTCTTTCTTCAGACAGAATGTTTCAAAAGCACTATTCCTGGACGCGATGACAGAGATCAGAACCAACCTTAACACCTCTCTCAGGATGCGAGGATGTGAATGAGCCCTATTCCATTTTCATGTAAATGCCCGCCTGGTGCAAAGATTCTGTGCACATATTCAATAACTTCATCGCCTCCGTGGTAACTACTCAACAGCGCCAGTGTGGCAGGGAAGTGCCATAGCAGGACCCGGATGAATGAGTGTGGCTGGACCGGCTTCTTGGGTCACAGGACCGTGGAGAAGCGGGGACGCAGAGGTATTGTGTTAGGAAAAGGTGCTCCGGGCCCTCTGGGACGTCCCCATTGGAATATCGGGAAGGGACCCCACGGTGTTCCAGCGAGACACTGCCACTTGCAGCAGGGACAGTCCCACCAGGAAGAGGCTGCAGGCGTGGCCCAGGGGCGGGGGGGGGGGGGGGGGCCGGAGGTCTCTGGCCATAGGATTCCCGAGCTGCCCGCCCCGAGCTGGGAGGTGCTGGGACGGCGCTGGCGGAGGGGCCCCTGGCGGCGCGGCCGTGGGGGAGCCGCTGGCCTAGGGCGCCGCGAAGTCCAAGTGCACCGGGAGCGGGGACGGTGCTCGTGCGGGCGGAGTTGTGTGAGCCGCGCGGGGCCCGAGTTTCCCGGGCAGTTCCTTCCCCGCGGGACCTCGCAGCGTCCTGCCCAAAGCGCGGGGGCCGGAGACCTGCTCGGCTCCGCCCGGAGATCGCAGACTTCCCGCCGCGCCCCGTCGCCCTCCGCCCTGCACGGCCCGCTTCCCCGCCTCGCCCCCGACCCCCCGCAGCGCTTCCTACAAAGTCGGCTCTTTTCAGTTAACTCTCAAGGTCAAGGGATCCCGCGCCCGGCAGGTTCAGGGAGGCGGAAACGAGGCGGCGGGGACTAATTGGGGAAGCGGCTTGAACGCCTCCCGGCGGGAAGGCTCCAGAACCCGTCGGGGCACAACACACCTCCTTCCAGGTGTTAACGCTCGCTCCCCACCGCCCCACCTCCACTCCGCAGGGGCCACCTCGGAACTCACAGGTGAGAGGTGCTGGGACACGGTCCGTCATCAGAATCCGGATCAGAAGGCCAAGACAGAAGACGGTGCCCGGAGCCCGAGCCATGGCGGGCGTCGGCGGGATAGCAGCGTGAGGGACGGGAGACACCTACCAGCTTGGAGGGGCTGTTACACACGCATCTGGCACAGCCACCAGGTCCTAATTGCCTCCCTGGGCAGAAAAACAGGATTGGTCGCTGATACGCTGGGCGGAGAGATCCGTTTGCAATAAAAGAATGTAGGGACAGAAGTTGCCAAAAATGGGTGCGGGAGGAGTAGACGACCCTGTTGCTGGGCGGAGCCACCGCCACCTCCTCAGCTGCCTTCGGAGTTCCTGCCCCCTGGCGTCTCCGGACAAGGAGAAAGATGCAGAAGAGGAAACTCGGTCCAGAAGCACTGCCCGCAGGGGTAGCTGAGCCTGGGTAGCTCAGGTCATGATCTCAGTGTTCCTGGGTTCCAGGTGCACCCCTGCTCTCCTAAGTTTCCTACCTCAGTGTGGAGCCGAGCTTGGGATTCTCTGTCTCTGCCTTCCCCTGTCTCTCTTCTCTCTCTCAAAAATAATTAATTAACGTTAAAAAGAGAAAAGAAGTACTTGCAGGAGTTGGGAGCCGGAAGACAAGGATGGGAGTGCAGAGCGGGAAGCAGGGCTGAAGACCTCTTGATGTTAGAGGGTTGGGTTTTCGTTTTGTTTCTTATTTTGTTTTAAATTGCATGTGATGTATTAGCATCTGTATTTGGCTTGTTTTTAAGGTTATTCATTTATATTAAGAGAGAGAGAAAGAGAAGGGGAGGGGCAGAGAGAGAGGGAAAGAGAATCCTAAGCAGGCTGCACACTATCAGGGAGGAAGACCCCACACGGGACTGGATCTCACAAACTGTGACCATGACCTGAACAGAAACCAAGCGTCAGTTGCTTAACTGACCGAGCCACTCAGACGTCCCAATGCTAGCGGGTTTTAGAAAAGCCAGCATAACTCTGCACAAATTAGTTGGGGAAGGCCTAGAGGCAGGCACACCTGTGGCAATGGGCCCACGCCCATGGTGTCCAGCGGGCTTACCATGTTCTCCACCAATCAGAAGCAGCAGGCTGGGCAGAATGGTAGAACGGCCTTGTGAAAACAGAGTTACACTGTGAGCTAGGTCGGGGTCCCTGGTGGGGCAGGGACCAGGTCCTCCCGAAGGCCGTTATGCTGTCATCTCACTCCTCTCCGTGGCCTTAAACCCTGGACCCTCTCGTCTCAGCTCCTGGATGGACCTCCCTTCCCAGGGGTGTGTCACACAGAGCCACCATGCTCTCACCCGGGTGGGAGTAATGCCTTTGAAAGGTGTGCCTGCCTCTCGGCCTTCCCCAACGAATCGTGTGCTGAGTCAGGCTGGCTTTTCTAAAACCCTCTAGCATTGGGACGCCTGTGTGGCTGTCAGTTAAGCAACTGACGCTTGGTTTCTGCTCAGGTCATGATCTCACAGTTTGTGAGATCCACTCCGCATGGGGGTCTTCCTCCCTGATCGTGTGCAGCCTGCCCCTCCCGTGCTCTTTCTCTCTCTCTCTCAATATAAATTAATAACCTCAAAAACAAGCAAAGCACAGATCCTAATACTTCTCAGGCGATTTAAAAACAAAAACAAACAGAAACAAAACCCAACCCTCTAACATCAAGAGGTCTTAAGTCTTGCATTCCGCACCCCAATCCAATCCTTGTCCTGCGGCTCCCATCACCAGGAGGTACTTCTTTTTCTGTTTTTACGATCATTAATTATTTTTGAGAGAGAGAGCGAGAGGGAAAGCGAAGGAGAGAGGGAACACGGGAAGGGCAGAGACAGGGAATCCAAAGCAGCTTCAAACAGAGGGCCCCACACTGAGGCATGCCAGCGCAGAGCGGGGGGTGGGGGGTGAGGGTGGGGAGGGGGTGGACCTTGAACTTGGGAACCAAGAGATCATGACCTGAGCCAGAAATAATGATAGAGATCATGACCTGAGCTACCCAGGCGCCCCTATTGGCAGTACTTTTTGATCAAGTTTCCCGTTCTCATTCGGAGAAGCCAGGGGGCAGACACGCGAAGGGAGTGACGTGACGGTGGCCCCGCCCAGCAACAGGGTCCCTCCTCCTCCCACATCCTTTTATAGCAAACCGATCTCCACCCAGCATATTAATGACCACTCCGTCGCTTCCCCTCACATGGTCCGGCTGCCGCTCGGTAAAAGCCGGTTGTCCCCCTGCACCCTGAGCTGGTAGGAGCAGCCGCCGCCCCTGATGCCATGGCTCGGGCTCCCGGCACCATCTTCCGTCTGGGCCTCCTGATCCGGTTTCTGATGGCAGACAGCGTTCCAGCCCCTCTCACCTGTGAGTTCGGAGGTGGCCCCTGGGCGGTGAGGTGGGGCGGTGGGGGGGGCGAGCATTAAGACCTGGAAGGAGGTGCGCGGTGCCCCCAGGGGTTCTGGAGCCTTCTCGCAGGGAGGCGTTCCGGGCCCTCCTGAATTAGTCCCCCCCAGGCTGGTTTCCGCCTCCGCGGCACCTGCGGGGAACGGGGTCCCTGGACCGGGATAAGTAATTGAAACGGGGACAACTTCGTAGGAAAGCGCTGCTTGGCCGGGGGCGAGGCGGGGAAGCGGGCCGTGCAGGGCGGAGGGCGACGGGGCGCGGCGGGAAGTCTGCGATCTCCGGGCGGAGCCGAGCAGGTCTCCGGCCCCCGCGCTTTGGGCAGGACGCTGCGAGGTCCCGCGGGGAAGGAACTGCCCGGGAAACTCGGGCCCCGCGCGGCTCACACAACTCCGCCCGCACGAGCACCGTCCCCGCTCCCGGTGCACTTGGACTTCGCGGCGCCCTAGGCCAGCGGCTCCCCCACGGCCGCGCCGCCAGGGGCCCCTCCGCCAGCGCCGTCCCAGCACCTCCCAGCTCGGGGCGGGCAGCTCGGGAATCCGATGGCCAGAGACCTCCGGCCCCCCCCCCCCCCCCC